GGAAGGGGACACAGGGACGGGGACAGACACACAGACGGGGGTGTGGGCCGGGCTGTCTGACCGCGGGGCCCTTGCTGCAGAGTGGATCGAGCGCCAGCAGGCCAAGAACAAGTTCTACTATTACCACCAGAAGTTTCGGCGCGTGCCCGACCTGAGCGAGTGTCTGGAGGGCGACTACCTGTGCTTCTTCGAGGCCGAAGCGCAGTGGAGGAGGGACAGGTATGGCAGAGCACACCACGCCGCCTGGTCCCACAGCGGTTGGCTTGAACCCTCACAGCGTTTTCATGGTTGAGGCAGCGCCTCTTGCCTGCCCTGTGCCAGAAAACCCGTTTTATAGTCTCCCTGGTCCCTGCACACACCTGGGCAGGGTGGCATTAGGACACACCCTCATGTGCTGCAGGATCCTGCAAAAAACCAGCTGACGTTGCGCAGGGTACCACTGCCCCTTTGGTCAGCTTCTCCGTCATCCCCGTCTTTCCTGCAGGATGGTTGATCAGGAAATTGTGGAGATAGTCCGGGAAAGGCTGGGTGCCTGCAAGCAGAGGGAAGGTCCCAACCAGTTCCAGAACTGCGCCAAGGAGGTGGAGCTGCTGGCGCAGGTCACCAAGGCGTACCAGGACAGATGTGAGTAGGGGGAAGAGGCCACCGCCACAGCCACACCAGGGGAAAGGGGCTTTTAAGCCACATCTCAGACTTCCCATGGAAAAGCAGCTTCTTTTTTTTCAGAAGACCTTTTAGTAATTTGCTTTCTTTTTTAGACGGTGACCTTGGCGTCCACGGCAACGCCAGGACGTGCCTGATGAAGCAGAAGCACAGGATGATGGAGGAGAGGAAGGCGCAGGCGAACGCATCTCAGGAGGTGTAAATGGTTAGTGCCTCCCTCTGCAGCACCTGTACCGAAAGCTGCATCTTTGAACTCTCCGTGCTGTCGACCTTTACAATAAACGTGCGGCCCAGCCATCTGCCGTCCAACCAGAATATCTGGAGTCTTTTTTTTTTAAGAGGTCTACACCCGCTTCCAGATTTCCCTTCCGGAGCTCTGCCTCCACCTCCATCACTCAACTGAAACGGGCTCTGCGCAGCCTCAGGGGCGAGTTGCCCCTGTTTGGGTAGATTCCGCGCTGTAGAACACAGAATCCTCAGGGCTGGCTCTAGACCCCCTTTACGATTAATAAGTGATTATCAAGGAGGAGAAGATAACACAGTATTTTGTTCAACAGCTGTTGAGGCTCTGACCCACAGGCACAAACCTGCTTGAACCCCCAGAGATATTTAATCCATCCCCCCAGCGCGTTAACCAGCCCCTCAAACCAATCCCTTTTTTTCTGGTTCACTGATCGCTTTATTGTCTCGTACAAAAACCGCTTAGGTTGTCGCCACAGCAGCTGCTTGGGTTCTCTGCACCGAGACCCTCGTGTGGGTCTTTGCCAGGTGATCAGTGAACTCCTGCAAAAAAAAAAAAAAAAAAAACAACAAAAAAAGGTGGTTTTATTTTTCTTACGCCACTGCTACATGTTTCTCAGCGTGTGAGGAATGAGGTAGTTCTGCTATAACTTATTTTCCATCGGTATTCCAAAGCTTTCCTATTATTTCCTTCGTCCACAAAATGCCTATTTCAAGATTTAGTCAAAACCGTGTGCTGAAAAGCCACGTTACCCAGAGGAGCAGTCACCTCTGTGACTCCACTCTCCTGTTATTAAACTGCGAATTCTTTGGGTCTGCACCTCAACTTCCACAGGGTAGGAAGGGTAAGAATTGAGCTGCAAACTGCAGAAATGCTCTTACCTGGTAAGGAGACTTGGTGAACACGGTCTCTTTCCAGAGGTCGGGGGTCAGGTAACTGTAAGTCTTGGAGATGGCATCGAAGGTGGCTTTAGCTACGGACAGGTGGAACACGGCACGTCACCGCTAAGGAAACCCCCTCTCCAGCACCCACCCGCGCAGCTCCGAAAATGTCGAATTTGGGATGGAACAGGGAAACCACAGCAGGGTCTCTCTGATACACATGCACAAAACTCAAGTTTCTTTCTCTCTCCAGTTACGACAATTACACTACTTTGACCAAGTGCAATCGCGCAGATTGGGAGATTTCTTACTACCAGCGCACGTATTAAAAAAAATAATTAACTTTTACAGAAATTCAGGATCATTTACAGGACCAATGTGCACTGTAAATGATATCAGCGTGGTTGCTGGAAGTTTTTAATTCAACACAGATTAAAAAACATTAGACACGAGTATGTTGCGTTCACGTCACCGACAAAACCGGCGACGCGTGCAGTTAAGCTACGACACAAAACCCTAAACCTCACCGAAGTTTCCGAGGGTGGCGGTGCAGCCCCTGGCCGAGGTGTAGCAGTCATCGATCCCAGCCATCATCAGCAGCTTCTT